AGCGTGTGAAGAAAAATTCAGACTTAGTTTTTCCAAGAATGCCGTCTTTCGGAAATAATAAAAGTAAAATTTCCCGAAAACTAATGTTCCTTAACTTCTTGATTAAAGAATAATACCAAAGATGTAGCTTTAAAGAAAACGCACGGGAATTAAGCTCGGGATCAGATTTCATATATGGTAAAGGCATTCTGGTACAATATCAATAATATCAAGAAATCGCAATAACCCTCTCCCCAAACGACTACGACCGTTGTCACTACAAGCTGCAGAAATTGTCATCAGTGCTACAGATACTGCCATATAACGAGAAAAAGATTGAGGGAGGTTTTGCAATAAGGACTGAATAAAGTAAGCTGAAAACAACGAAACATCTTATACAAACTATCCTAAAAATTTTAAAGGTAGTAGTGTGAAATATACCCAATAAATATTAAAAGTAGAAACTACCTATTAAATAAAACGTGTTATACAAACTATTCATGCAATGTTGTAACTTTGTATTTTCAAGCTTTTGAATCAAAAGTTCTTTACACCTGAAATTTTGATTCTTTAGATATTTAATTGAAATCTGCTGGAAGGAGTGAATTTTTAGAAATCCGATTATTTAAGACGGAAGTAAATTATTAGAGATCCAGTGTCATATCTTGTTACTAGAGAAGTAACAGGAAATATCAGTTTTTCCATTTACGATTAATTCATTTTCACAGTGCAAAGATTTGAGGCAGAAGTCTTATTAAGGTTATTAAGGTAGACTTCGATGACTTACGTCTTATGTAAATTGAATTTACCGTTTGATAGGCCACTTTTATAGACTTTCAGCTATAATGTAAATAACCATTTTCCTGTCGGATTTCATCAGTGGCCGACGAGCTACCGAGTAATTTAAAACCAGTAAAAACTGGTAATTCGACCTGGATTAAAATTCCAGGGAATGGGCAGTCTTCATGGGTACTTTCGTAGTGTACCGTCGTACGCAACGTATGTATGAGCCAATTTTATTTTGTTTTATTTCTCTGCGGAGGTATTCATCTTCTTAGGTGTATAATCTCTGTATACTTTGTCATATTCAAGGAAACGAAGTTCTGTTCGCTCAGTCAACAAAGCAAATGAAGATCTGTTAAGAAGTCTGTTGTGAAGGTTCGGAAACATTTTCATGCTTTCTAACTAATAAATTATGAGCATACATAATTAATGCAAATGCTGATTTAGTGGCAATTAATCTGGTAACCCTAGTAGCAGTCATTAGTTCATTTGAAGAGCTTTAGTTCAAATATAACTTTAGGAAAAACTTATCGCGTAATACGGGTTGCTCGAATTTAGCTTTGTTGCGTAATTTTTATTCACTTCGAACAAGTCATTTTAAACAATAATTGCAACAATTAACGTAGCAAAAATTTCAACAATTTGTGATGTTGTACTTGTTTTGACTGAAAACTAGTTACGAATATATATTCATTTCTTTGTGTCATTCATTTTATGCACTGCACCATTTGCAGTCTTTTTTTCAATATAATGTGAACTATGTGTGTCATAATTTGCAAATATTCTGTTTTAAAATTTTTAGTCCATTCAATTATACACTCCTGTTATCGCTTGTTACTTCATACATTCTCAGTTTCCTATCTTGAATGCAGCATCTTTCAAAAACCCGCCCGTAGTCAAGTATCAGATTAAAGTGGTAAGTTTTTTAAAACAAGAGTTTGAGAACTGAGACTTATTTCGAAAAATGCTTTAATGTTGCACGTCAGTTTTCTTTCTATTGCTTGCCTAAATCAGAGATCCCTAATCTGGACGATTGCATGTCATGATTTTTTTCTTCCAATGGCGAGCACTAGCCATTATAGGTCACTTTATTGCGGAGGCACCTAATAAGTAGCTCACCGTTGTCTCCTATGAAGGGACAGACATTTTGCATCCATGCCTTCTTGCATTTCATGCCATCCATCTTCTTAGGGATTCGAACCTGGTCTCTTCAGTACGGCAGTCGGTTGCTAACCATTTTGCCATCTGGACGGAACATATCATGAAATTCTGTCACTGAATGTATCGATGTATACAGCTCGGAACAAAAGGCTGCTCTGCTCTTTTTTCAAGAAAATATTTAGAATTTATTGCTATTCAGTCTGCTGAGTGGTTATTTATAAAACCGTCGTCCTCTGTAATGTGCTCTATTTGTAACAGTTTTTGTAAATGGACTAGCTGAATGGGATTTATGATAATATATATAATGTAATTATTTTCAGTTCACTAGTTGTCCAGACATACAATTACATCTATATATGTTTAGTTGAAATTTATAGTTCGCAAGTTTTTAGTTCGAGTTTGCCTGTCTATCAAGTTTTGGTGAAAGGAATCGACTCCTTGTTTGCTTTGACCTTTTTTTTTTTTTTTTTTTTTTTAAGAATGTATTGACACATGGTTCGCGTTAAAATCTGATTGCATTTTAAAATGCTCTGGGGACATTATTGAGAAAAATCGAATGAAAATTAATTTTCCTCTATTTTTGGATCACACACTTAAATTTACTTTTATTACACATCTGAACTACGATTTTTTTTCTCGACAAACAATTTCAAACTCAGTGACGTTTTTTAGATTCCTTTTCTGCAGTTTTAAAGTTATTTCGGTATTTTGATATTACCGTATTTACAAATCGCGAAAAACAATTTTGATTTGAAAAATACGGCTTCAAATTGTTTACCTCTTTTGACTGTTCAACTTGACCTCGCATGGTCATGAATCGCAAGGCCGATGTCAGGTGTCGATTCTTTTTCCTCGCAAAAACTTTCCGTAACACTTGCGTGCGTTTCATAATCTCATCGCATTTCATTGTTGCTATTCTGATACTATGTCACAGTTCTCGTCTATCAGCTGGAATGTAAGCGGCTGTGTGAATCACGAATTTAAGCTTTTTTTAATTTATCTTTATCAATTTATAAATTTAAACTTATCTGGCTAATTACAAAACTACTTTCGACGTGTATGAGAAAGCAATTCGGTGAGGGTTTTGAATTAAGGGATACTTTGCGCAATACTAAAGTTTGACTCGAATTTTTGGTCTACATAAAAACTGGTAAGAATGAGCGCATACACTTATTTAAAAATATGTAAATACAACTTAATTCAGTTTTGCTCCTTGTATCCGTGAATTTAACAAGAGAATGAAATAAACAAGCTGCCTATTGTCATTAATAAACTTTTATGAATCCCTCGGTTTTTAGTAGAGTTTTTAAAAATTCATAGCCGCTTTCTTCAGTTCGGATTCCCAGCAGCATTTATACTTTCTTAAACGACGTCCGAAATACATTTATTGAGAAATATTGCAAAGGTTTCAAGAACTGCTTGAAGTCTTGAGAGCATCTACTAAATTGTAAAGTTCGGCAGGCATACTTCTTTTGATGAAGCTTATGTACTTCTGTTAAATCGTTTAATTACAAATTTAAGCAAGAGATTAACTGGCTAATTCCCTAGCAAGCAATGATTTTTATTATACATGTAGGTTGCCCAATTTGAAAAAACCGAAAGGTATTTCTATCAGTTACAATCAACACCGAAAGGGGATTAAATATGATCTTAAATTATTTATTCTATGGTTAAAGTGAAAAATTTTGAACTTATTAAGCACTATTCAATTCGGAAAGCTAAGAATGAGCGTTTTTCCAAGACTGTAGTCGAGTGCCAAACACTTCGCTATGTATAAAATTTCTCTTCAAAGAAAGTCCTTTTCTGAAAGACGTAAAAGGGAAATCGTTTTAAATGCTTTTCTCGAATACATGCTAACGAGCAAAAAATTAAACATTTTAGTGACAGTTAAACTATTATTCTGTACCGACGTACATAATATATTACCCTGGAAAAATATTTAATTAAAATAATAAAAATACCTATAAAAGTATGATAGATGTAATATTGAATCGCCTGAATTAGTCTTAATTATAAATTAAATCACTTGGAAAAAATGATTTATACATTTATTTTTCAGTACTTAGTAATCTGCACATTGCTTTTAATTCCCTGAATTACTGCAATATCGAGTTTTAATTTTAAAGATAAAGATCTTAACCCACGTAGAAAGCAATACCTCTGAAAATTGGCATTTTGCCTAAGTGTGTGAATAAAAAGACGATATGCGTTATGAAATTTCAACAACCGCACGAGCGATAAGTACCCTAGTCACTGAATGTAACTTTAAGTGAAAAACAGGCTAATTACAAATGCTTCTAACTTCAGTTATGAAGAAAGTAGCTTCCATAAGGGAAAACAATTAAGCAATCACAGATATTTCTGTAAGTGAAGTTGATTCAAAGAATTTAATGTCTATTTTAAGCAAAACAGACATTTCCTTTCCAATTTTTCTGGTTTCGATTTTCAGTTTCAAATTCTGTATAAGCGATAGTATGTCTTTCAGGAAATGAGCGGAAGCACAATGCTGTAATTTTCTTAAACTTGGAAAGGTCATCGGCCGTAGTTCCGTGGATTACTTTCTCAGACAAAAGTACCGAGGATCACTCGGAATTTAAGAGCCTTATGTGATCACTGCTACATTTGAAAGCTGTTTCCGGACTATACAATCAGTATTTGGAGTAAACATTTAGACTTGAAACATTCAAAGTTAGGCAAAACTACTTACGTTGCATAGAAAAGTCGTGCAAACAAATAATTGTCCCATTTCACTTCCCTGGTTTTTATGACTTAATCAAACAGACATTCTGCCTATCTGAATTAGCTAGACGTTGCTTATGGCTTCTGTATTTCGTACTTCTAAACGAGAATCTTTTTATGAAATCTGTGCATTAGACGACCATAATCTTTGAAGAAAATTCAAAACTACCCTTCAATTCTATATCACGCAATTTAAGGCACACGAATTAAATTTTCATGGTCATTGTCGCTCAACAATTCGTTATTTGATCGATTTTATGAAACTATTATAACATTAGAATTTAATATCTGTAATCATGCAGTATTTAATATAAATTTGTAATTTGCCTTCATTTTAGAATCTAGTCCTCGAAGAAGGTAAGGAAGCTTATGAGAAGTGGAAGAAAACTCCTATTCCTGTGACATTTAAAGTGTTTATTTTCAACATCACAAACCCTAAAGAAGTCGCAAATGGAGCGAGGCCTCGAGTTTCTGAAGTTGGACCTTATGTTTTTAAGTAAGTGTTAAGCTATTCCATACTTTAAAACTCGGGAAATTTTAAAGGGCCTTGATGTAATAAATTCGAATTATACTGGATTTAACAATTTTTAGGATAATAAAGTTATAACAACATCAATAGCTCTTTGTCAGCCCTCTTTTGAACGTGCTATCATAAAAGCATCACAAATGTAACACTCCAGTGATTTGCCATGGTAACAAACTTTCGTAGGTTAAACGGTGTTGGTTTCTATTCTAAAACCAAGACGTCGATTGCAATTTCATAACTGACTTTATAAGTTTTCTTTTAAAAATAGTATGAATTTTCTAAATTACTGACTTGAACGTAGTTAAAGAATAATCAAATTATTTAGATTGACTTGGCTGTTTGGCCTCCCAGGTTGTATAGAGCTTAGCCTATTGCAATACCGAAGGGTTTGGTTCCGAATCCTAAAGAAAGCATGGATGTTTGTAAATGTATTGTATCTGTGCGGCATAGGGACACTCTAAATATGCGGCGAGCCGAAAATCCTCTCGAAGAGTTGGTGGTAGGGGAAGAGGAGTGGGAGACCCTCTGACCCGACCGGGGTGGGACTGAATTGGGGCAGAACTGAGCGAATTTGTACTATCACCTGTATGGTTCCCAAGGCTCTTGAACCAGCTACAGGCGCAACCTTGCGCTCCTTGTTACGCTGGATTTCGTAGGCTTGTTCTGATGTTACTGTCAGACAAGTGAGATAAGTCACAACAACACTTAAGTGTTTAAATTATCCAGATTGGTTCCCTTAACAATACCTAACATTTCAAGTTTAGCGAGATAAACTTGATTGGAGAAAGGGGGAGCGAAGGCGTCCATTCTTGCAACTAATAAGTAGTCCTAATTTAACCAGAAGAATACAAAATACTGTAAGCAAGATTCCCATTCTCTTGCTATGTCTTTTGGGACAGATATTTTTTATGGACAGATATCTTTATTGGCATCGATAAGAACATACACCAGAGTCTTACCTGGTTTAGAACCGAAGAGAGTAAGCCTAACAGACTGCCTTTACCAGACAATGATAATATAAAAGGATAATAGAGAAGGCAGATTCTTATTTTTTAAATCAAAGTACGAACGATCAGTTTAACTGATTAGCAAAAATACATACGCTTGCTGCCAAATGTCTGCGTACAGGTATTCAGACTTGCATCTTTAGGCAGTGACCACAAAGAAAACATCATCGATGAGAATCATTGGAGCTTTTATTGATTCTTCAAACCGACTAGATTTGAAAGGTTAAAAAAAATCCCTAAAATGGCAACACAAAATCTTTAAAATAATAACTTTACAATGACTCAAACCATGTGAGTCAAAAGTCTGCGTACATGATCCAAAAACGCTTTCGAAAGTTGTTTTAATTAAAATATTAATATCGTGTAGGATATCCTCTTTTTATTGCTTCTTTTAACTCCCTTTCGTTATTCAACTAGCTTAGTTGTTTCGTCAGCAGTTAGTTTGTTCCATTCTTGCACTATAATCTCGTTCAGCATTTCTTTTGATGTTTTATCATGTTTCCTGATTCTTCTTTCCAAGAAATCGCACAAATGTTCTATCGGGTTAAGTCTTGGGGACTGGTGTGCTGTTTGCAGTTGCTTCGGTGCATGGTAAAGCAGCCAGTTCTTAACAACGTAAGCAGTATGCTCGGGGTCATTGTCCTGCTGAAAGAGAATCTTCACTAACCCTAAGCTTTTCTGCACTTGCTCGACGATTTCTTTTCAGAATGTTCAAGTAGTCAAATTTATTCATTTTTGACTCTATGAACTCCAGATTACCAATCTCAGAGCTCCCCATGCACCCCCACACCTCCAAGCTTTACAGTTGGATAAAGGTTTTGTTTCCCAAGTTCGTGACCTGGTTTTCTCCAAATGTACTTTCTTCCTTTGATCCCAAAAATGCAAAATTTAACTCTCATCTGACTTTATTCCAGAAGTTAGTTTGCTTATTGATATGCTTTTTAGCCAAGGCTAAAACTAGCAAGGCTCTTTGCTTTTACTTCGGAGATGAATGGCGGTCTCCGAGGCCCTCTCCCACGGAAATTGTTCTTTTTCAGTACTCTTCGAATTGTTGTTAAACTTCCATTCTTCTTGAAACTTTCAGCGACTTACTGCATTACCTTTAAAGCCGAGTGTCTGTTTTTTTTTTTTTTTTTTTTTTTTTTTTTTTTTTTTTTTTTTTTCTGCACGGACCGCAAAGCCAGACTCGCGTTGTATCATTGTAGATGGACGTCTAGATCTGGGTCTTGATGTGAACAGGCCTATTGCTTTGAAGTTCTTGATCAATCTTTGAATGGAAGAATCTGTCCTATTTACTAAATTACCATTTTCTCTGAGATTTCCCTTCTTCTGCAAAGATCTACAATAATCTTTTTCTCGGCCGCATTAATCACTCTTTCTTCTGCTATAGTTCAGACAACAATGCACAGTATTTAAAATCTTTTATATAAAGGTCGAAAGACCACGATTGCACAAGAAAAAGAGCTTGCTGAAGCTATTTTGCACCAAAATCTCTCCTCTTTTGAAAGCGTACGCAGACTTTTGGCGGTGATGACTCGTTACTTCTTAACCAATCGCTTTTCTTTTTTGTTTTGCTTACTGTATAGGTAGTCTGTTTTTGCATAGACTGAATCAGGAGAGCTTCACAATTAATTGAGCGTGTCTCAATTACCCCTATTATGATTTGATAAGCGATTAAAGTAAAAAGTAGAAGCTTGATAGCATGTACGCAGACTTACGGCAGCAAGAGTAGGTATTTTCCTGCATATATTGTTGAACACAGAGTACCCTTATCCTGAGAAGATTTCTCGATGACTATGTAAAATATGCATGTGGAAATTTTTTACCAACTTTATTTTAACCAATTCTTAACTTGCTATTAATTTCCCTCCGTTTCCAAAACATTTTGTCAAACTTTGAAGAAAAGTGAGCTTATTTTATGTTAAGCAATGAATTCTTTAGAACGAGTAAAATTTGACCAATATTTGGAACTAAAGTGGACGTAATTAGATTTTAAATATGTTTTTCCGCGATCTCAAGTTCTTGGTTTCTTAACTAACAAGGAATGTCTTCGAATAGTGAAATCTAATTTTTTCTTAAAAATAAATATATGAATCTTGTCATCTAGAAATATATAATAGTAAATAACTAGCTGCTAATAATCTGTAGATGGGCATTTAAAAAATTATAAAAAGGGGAAGTAGTGGCATAGCGCTGTTTGGAGAATCAATTTTCAAAATATGGAAAATCGCCAAGCCAGTTGATTCATTCAACGAAAACGTAAAATAATGAACGATGAGATAGCAATAGAAGGAAACATATTTTGTATGTGAATACGCAGTAATTTAAAAGAAAATATTAAATAAAACTGATAGAAGATTGATCCTTGAAAAATTGCATCAGAAAACAACACTGGAAATCAAACTGTAAAAAGATGTATCATTTTGGACATTTTAGCGCTATATAAACGGTATGCATTTTGTTTTATGTGCTAATAAATAAGCTGATTGGGAATTGAATGTACTACAGATGCAGTGTAGTTAAAAAAAATCAAAGTAATAATCTTTTACACCAGTTGCAATTTGCTATCTGAACCGAATTATAAAAGCTGCAAAACAGTAATGCTTTCGGCGACTGATGGGTAAAACCACTAGCTATTTGGACCTGGGTTTAAATCCCTGTAAACAGATTGGTAATATGGAAGCTTTAGTTTTCTTTTCTCAAGGGTAAAGACTATTTCCCCCAATGATACATCTTTCTACAGTTTGTAACAATTTTCCAGCATTTTTAAAGTGAGTACTCTGCCTTTTTAAGAATGCTGGAAATTTGTTACCTACTTTTTTATTTCAAACACATTGCAAGCTACATTTCTATTATTTTAATTATCTATTTTACTCTAAATTTCCCCGCCCTTTTTGGTGATAATAACGTAATACACGATTTAGGCTTTGTTACCCACAGCTCAGATTCATTATTTAATTGAAGCAAATGAGAATTTACTTTAAAATGCGTCACCTGCTTAATTTTCAGAATTAGTCTCTCTAGCTGATCAGGCGCCGATTTCCTTTTAGTCTGTATAGACATTAGGTACTTTTTTGGAAGCGAGCAAGTTGAAAAAGGAACCGGGAATCGAACCACGGACCTCTGAAATACCGGTCCAGCGTGCAGAACCACTACACCGCGAAGGCACGCTAGGAAGGCGGAAGAAATGCCTTGTAAGTCAATCGTAATTTTCCCGGGACTTTCATATTCTTTTGGGTAAAATTTGTTAATTTCAGATGTCTGTTGTATAATCTTGAACCGATATTCAAACCACATGAGGTAAATTTATACCACCAAATAAACACATAATTTAGAACTAAAAGCCTAAACTAAGGTCTCCAATTTTTACAGTGGCTGAACGGCTTTTACAATTTTTTTAATTTTATTATTATCTATAGAATGTTAGGGACTGATTTCTTGTCCGACTAGAACTTCCTAGAAGAACTAGAACTGCTGTACTTGAAGAATTAGATGTACTAGAACTTCGTTAGTTCATCATTTTAATTTGTCTCTTGAATTTATCTCGATGCAAAGTTTTCTATTTAATCAGGATATGGATTTTTCTCGAGTTGCCAAAGCAAATTTCAGGTGTTAAAAAAATGAATTCTCTGCATACATATCGTATCGGAAGAAACTGACAATTTTATTCTGATCTCGCATTCCACTTTAATACTAAACGAATTTATCTACTACAGAAAGGCAAACTGGATTCAACGTTTCTCAGATCACTGATAATTGTTCATTTAAAGATAAAAATTACTGAAGAATATAGCAAAACGCAGCGGAATTCGAATCTGTTGAATAAAGTGACAGGGTTTAAGATATTTAAAGCAAAAGCCGTTACAAAGAAAACCTTAAGCTATTGAAGGATATCTGATTATAATTAGAGGATATTTTCTTGAATTAATGTCCCACGTGTTTTATGCTTTGTGATCTGATAGCCACTAATATGCAAATGAATTGACGATAGCTTTCTATTTAATCAGGATATGGATTTTTCTCGAGTTGCCAAAGCAAATTTCAGGTGTTAAAAAAATTGTACAAGTTATCTGTTTATTCAAACTTTAGTCTTACGGTCACTTTTTAAATAAAACTATAAAATGTAAAATACCGATAAAGAACTTTAGTTGTATGAGCGAATACGAAATTTTTGATATTGATTGCATGTATTTTTACTTTCGTATACTTCATTGATTCATTAGTTGAATTTTAATTATTTTCTCTTTTCAGACAACTAAGAAGCAAAGATGTTTTGCAATGGAATGAAGAAGAGAAAACGGTCACATACAATGATTTAAAACAGTACCATTTTGTGCCTTCACTATCAGCCAATATGTCTGAAAAAATTTACAGCCTTAATTTACCATTGCAGGTAAATTTTCATTTTTAAGAGGGATATGCTATTAGTTCTTAAATACGTCTTATTTAATTTCATAATCATGTTCTTTCTGATTACTTTCTAATTGGATTTAACACTTAAATCCTTACGAAAGTCGTTCTTTTGTTTTTGACATATGGTTGTGAGAGGAAGGGGTCTTCTCATTGTTCGAGAAGCAAACAAGCTTAGTTGCAGATAAATTTTACGTAGCACAACTAAAAGAACTGAAAGAAAGTATGAGGTCTTGAATAAGCCTTACATTTTGAAAAATAGTAAAATGTTGAATCCTTAGTGGAGTGTCAGAGAGAGCTTTGAAGTAGGAAAGAACTGTGCTATCGTCCAAGTAATTCTGCAGTTTTCAATAATAAAATCTCTTTATAAATACTCTCCGCTTATGTATTTCAACTGTTTCATTTACTCAAATCCATTTTCTTTCATTTCTTATCAACCAAAAAAAAAAAAAAAATCGTTTCAACGCTTTTAATGGACTTGCATTATCGGAAGTCTATATATGAATATAGAAGAACAAATACATAAAGTTACCGTTTTAAATGTTCTGAACAATTTTGATTTCATTCCAGATAACTTTTTTAAGCCTTATGTATTAATTTATAGGGTATTATTATGTTCGTCAAGAAACTGGCCTATTTTGCAAGAGCGATGATTGTTCCAGCCTTGGAAAATATGCTAACAACTTATAATGAAAAGCTTTTCACACACAAAACTGCGCGGGAACTTCTCTTCGACGGTTATAAAGTAGAGCTTATAGAAGATTTACTTGATCTGGCGAAACCTTTCGTTTCCAAAGTGCCACAGATTTTGCCAAATAATACATTCGGATTTCTGTATGGGGTAAGTAGTACTACATCGCATAAGTTTTGATATTCTCAGTGGAAGATTTTTTTGTATGAAATGTGAATTAAGGGCTCAAAAATTAATTGACCAACCACGTCAAGTACAGTACCCGTGTATCGGCTCTGGCGATATAAACGTTTTTCTTAATGCGTCTAAAAAGTTATTCTATTTAATTTTGGGTGTCCGCCGATAACATCGCGACAAAAACATCGCGGACGAAAATGTCGCAGAGAAAACAACGCAAGGCGAAAACGTCGTGCTACAAAACATCGTGGGAGAAAACTTCGTAGTTCTACGTGGAAAAATAACGCGGTCAAAAACGTCGTCGTCGTCGAAAATATCGTGGTAAAAAATAAAGTATCTACAAATTATCGCATGACGATAACATCGCAGATATGCTTTTTTTTTTTAAAATTGGTAAATGGATATTCCCATAATGATTTGTGAGCGCAAAATGTAAAGAAGATAATTGGTTTTCATATTTTATATTAACTAAACTAAATTTTGCTGAGAAAATAAGAAGGAAACTTAAGCATAGAAAATTAATGCAACTTATAGCACTTAATAGAATTTTAAACCGATATAATTAACTAACAAAGACCATTAATAAATCATTTTTATAACGTTTTTACTGGTAATTTTTCATAAAAAGTATAATAAGTTGCGTTTAATTTTCTATGCTTAAGTTTCCTACATACTTTTTGAGCAAAAATTTATTAGTTAATAAAAAAATGTGAAAGTAAAGAAAGAAATTATCCTTCTTTACATCTTTCGCTCACAAATTACTATGGAAATATCTATTTACAGTTATTAAAGCCTGAAAAAAGCATGTCTGCGATGTTATCGTCATGCGATGATTTGTAGATACTTTATTATTTACCACGATATTTTCGACAACGATGTTTTCAAATGCGAGTTTTTAACCGCTTATTTTAAACGACGACGATGTTTAGAACTGATGTTTTTCTCTTGCGTGTTTTCTCCCACGATGTTTTCTCCCACGATGTTTTCTCCCACGATGTTTTCTCCCACGATGTTTTCTCCCACGATGTTTTCTCCCACGATGTTTTCTCCCACGATGTTTTCTCCCACGATGTTTTGTAGCACGACGTTTTCGCCTTGCGTTGTTTTCTCTGCGACGTTTTCTTCCGCGATGTTTTCGGCTGTAACCACTTGACGTATTAACGCATCCAGCCAACTTGGTGCAATCTGGCGATTCTTTACAAATGAAAGGGTAAACGTTTTATCGGGTGCAAGGTCGATGGTTTTCGAGGGTTTTCAAAGATTCCCAAACCATATACATTTAAGTAAGCTAGCAAACATAATCGTCATATGAAAAGTCAACATACTTTAGCAAATTAAAATGCAAAATTTAATTGTTAGATAAGGATTATTTGACAGTTTAAAAAATAAAACACATTCGTTTTAAAATCTTTATGTAATTTTTTTCAATAGTTTTTCCCGAAATACAGAGATATGTTTTTACTTTAAAAAAATAACAATTTCAGAGACTCGGCATCTCGCAAACCTCGGCCACACCGACCATCTACGAAACTCATCTCGTTTTTGTTCCCTATAGTGATTTTACGTAAAATTCTGCATTTCTGAAGAAATTTTATTGAAGCTTCTTTCATTGTTCGGAAATTTCCCAAGTGTGTATTTTAAAATTAAGTTTAATGCATATATCACGGTTTGTTTATAAAAGCCATTGGAACTTGGAATACAACAAACAGAATGCAGGCGGGAAGAGCGAAATAGCTTGACTGAAGGATGGTTATGCGCATGATTAACAGATTATGGTGCATTCTGAAAATTTGGGGACTTCTGCTTAAGGTGGTTGCAATAACAAAGAAGTAACATATTCTAAAACTATTTTGCCTTCTGGCGATACATTTTCAGAGGGAAGAAAAAGGCGCTTTAAAGGGAATATCACTAGCATAAAGTACATAGTCAGTAAAAGTGGTGGTGTATGTTGATAAGCTTCCGTTAGGCACGTGACTTGGCACGTGACCCAACAGACCATTGTTCAAAATTTTGTACTTAATCCGCCAACTTGTTTAACAGTTTTGATGCCAGCATTTCCATAGTTAAATAGTACATACGTATCTAAACATTCACTCGGTGGAACATATCGAAGTTTCGTTTTGAAGCCCACTCTAGTGTTTTAAAGGCTTTCAATGGTAAAACGGGATTTCAGGTGTGCTTCGAACACCCTGAAGTATGCAGACTGATTTTAAAATGTAATGCACGCTGCTTGTATCCCCAGCGTTAAAATTATTAGCGAGACAATCTCATTTGTTACGGCGTACCAACCTTTGATCAGTTACAGTACTGACTTCGATTTGGCCAACACTTATCAGCTAGGTTTTCTGCGTTTTCTTCCTATTCAGACTGCGTAGTAAGAGTTTACTTTTACCGCGCATTGTTGAGCTGTCTACAAAAATCTGCACTTCTCAGAAATGCTCTGACAAAACATTTTGAAAAACATGAAAACTCCTTTACGTGTTGTGACTTCCCATTCGAAGAAAAATATTAGTATTGAATAAAAACGCAGCAAGTTTCATATTTATATCAGTGGCCTTTGACACAATTTCCCTTCCGATACTTTCCTTCCATAACGAGGCCCACCAGCGGCCGAGCGGTAAAGTCTCTGAACACTGTAGTTCGGTCAGAGGTTCGAATCCCGCGAACGGACTGGCTGCATGGGTGTTTTCGTGGTTTTCCCCATGTGTAACGTGTATACGAGCCAGTTTCCCTTAGAAAGTCCTCCACGAAGGTATTCCTTCCCTTAGGCAGATAGCCCTAGTGTGCTTTGCAATAATTAAATACACAACCACACCTTCCATAACGACATTGTGGTAACTATGTTCCTTTTTCATGTGCAAATCCTAGAAATTTGAATTTAAATGGAATTTCCTATAAATTGTTATGCATTGTTTATAAATCGAAACATGTAGATGAAAGCGAAATTTCACGATTACTAGAAGGTATTAAGTACCACCACTTATCAGTATGCATAATTTTCAATGATCATTTCCTTAATGCGTAATCAAGAGATCAGTGCTCTCCCGGATATGATCCGTGCTACGTTTAAGCATCTGCCAACTTCATGCTGACCAACCGGTTTTAGTGACTTCTTCATTCTGATTCTTCGATATGCTACAGATTTGCTTACTTCATTTATTTTTAAACCTTGAACAAGTTTTACTTGAAAGTAATTTGCGCAATTCTGAGCAGAAAAGGGGGTACTGTGTGGTAAACGTGGGATTTCTTTTGTGAGGTTAATTTTTATAATTGCTTTGCTTCATGACTCTTTCAAATGAAAGCTTCATATTTTTTTAATTTGGGTATTGTTGATTGCTAGTCTTTAGTTATTCAAGAAACTGCCTTCTAGCAGAAATTTGATATTTCGACTTTTTAAATTTAGTTTTAAATTATGATGTAAATTTTTATTTTATAAAACTTTGTTTACCAACGAAAAACGTAGCTTCTTTAAACTTATTTTATTAAATTTTTTCGATTGAAACATTATTAGGGAAAAATAGTTTCATGCGACAAGAATGCTTTATTAACAGAAGACGATGGATGCTTAATAAAGCAATATAAAAACTGTTGTTCCGTTGAATCTCTAAAATAGCCAACATGTGCTTTGTCATAATAGATTGAACAAATCAATTGCCTCTGTTGCAAATCTGGAGCTTCGGCCTCCACTTTACCGAAACATTGAATGACTTGTTTTAAATAAAATGTGCTCTAGTATAAAATATACTTACCTCCAAAACATAAACGCATCTAAATGTCCTTTGGCTCTCCTTTCATATGTGCATTTTATGAATTGTTCCAAAATGTCATTAATATTTTTAACGCATTCGATTTCAGAAAAATAATTCTGGAGATGGCATATTCTCAGTATTTACTGGAGAAGACGACATTTCGAAATATTCGCAAATTGTTCGATGGAATAATATGTCGTAAGTTTAAGATTTTTTTCTTAAGTAGTTTTATATATGAAAATGAGTGTTAAACGAAGTATATAAAATAGTTATCTAATTTAAACTAAATGCATCGCCAGAATGTTTTGGAATTCCCTTTCCGGATTAAATTTTTCACTTTAAATTGCTTTGAATACATTACATATTTAATTGATGACTGCCTTTGAGTAAAAGCTCATGAGCAATTAGCCTTATACATAAAATGATAACCACTTAAATCCTCATTCACTGTTTTTACTAACCAATGGCTGATAATTGAGTCTGAAAAACTGATAGCTTCAATTTCGCCAGATGAATAGTCTGCCCTGGCATGGGAGTTTCGTGATTTATCTTATCTGTGAATATGGACTACTCGTTAAATTTTATGTAAAGGCATTTTTCCTACAGCAATAGGCTTCGTACTCGCGTAACTTCCAGGTAGGTCAAAGATAAGATTTGCTCTATTAGAAAGTAACCTGCGAACATAAAAATGAAAAGTTAATTTTTGAAAACTCTCAGAAATGAGCTGCGTTTCCAAAACATAACTGTAGGAATTTTTGCTTTTATGCAATTCACAATAAGCTTTCCATCTGACCTCAGTACGGGCAAGGCTTATGGAAAGCTATTCTCAAACGACCAGCCTTTGAGCTCGCATCACGCTTATGAAAGAAACTGAAATAGTAATTTTTTCTAGAAATGCGTTCTCCCTTAAGTGCACTAGCATTCAAAATTAAGCGAATAAACGTGTTTTGTTGAATTCCTTAAAAATACCAAACTATAATTGGTAAGAAGGTTGTCAGATAACACAATAGTGTTGCTGAGAAAACGTTAATTATTACTTTTATTTTTAACTACTGACATCTTAACTTCTCATGGTGCCGCGACAAAGGAAAAAAAAACCACTATTGTCATAAAACGTATATCTGAACACTTTAGTGTCTGGTGATTGAAAAACTAAGACTTTAATTTAGGCTAAATTGCATAAATCAATAATACAGTAAAATACTAAAGTTTATCAGATCAACGCTCATACACGTTTAGCCAATAATGAAAGATAATATCCTCCCTGGTGTTTTGGTAAAATCACAAGATCATTTATCAAAGAAAAATGTGAAATTTCCGTAACAAATTCATCAAGAAAAAAACTCTCACTAAAAAAAAAACTAGATCCACTGACTTTCCAGAAAACTCATAAATTTCAATACAATTCTCGCGATAGCCCCAAAACACTTTCTATTAAAATAAAACACACAACACTTCAAAACACCAGGAAAAGATAAAATCTTCCCCGTCAAGTTCAGAACACCAGATCAGAAAAATTAATTAATCGATGTGATCGTATAGTCACAACCCACTTAGAATTAATTTTCCTACTACCTGCAATAAGTAACGCAAGTTTGAATTGAAAGAAAAACCCCGTTTTCTGTAATGATTTCATGGGTGACCTACAATAGACCACAAGATAAAACTCGAATAAAACATACAAAAATAAATCGATAAAACATTTATTAAATATTCCACAAAAGATTATCAATTTAGAAAAATGATTACTGGATCCAGGACCCTGCAACATTTTCTCTTTTTGCCTAAACAACACACATTTCCAATTTCCTAATACGGAATAATTCACATTTGAGATAATGAACAATTTATCTTCTGACAATTAGTAATTAAACTACTTGATATAATACTGAATGCACATCAATTCGGTGAAAATTTCCTTTAAGAAAGATTTATTTTCTCCCAATTTAATTTAAATTACTAGTCATCTCAGTTTAATCTTTTTAAGCACTTATCAAATTAATAATTAAATAAGCAGTAAAAAAGAAACCAAACGAGAGAAAAATGTAAACACTCACAGAAGCCGCGTACACAAACCGTCTGTGGGACTCTGGGAGATGCTGCCGGATCATTTCGTAAACACGTCGGAAACCGAAGCAGGTCGTTTCGAAGCCGACGGTTCGACGCCAACGTTTCGACGCCGGGGCAGTTCGACGCCATATTTTTTTCGTATTTTTATTTATTTTTAGAATAAATATGAAGTAATATGACTGATTTTTATTAAGTAATATGACTTAAAAATCAGTCGATAGTAGTCAGTAGTTTTAATAAGTAATATGACTGATTTTTTTATTGAATTAGCGATTGTTTGCATCATATTTGAAATAAATATATGTGTGTATATGTGGGAAAGTGTTCTAGATTTTTGTTTGTGTCCCAGATTAGTGAGAAGCCTCCTCGCCAACGTCAAAGCCCCGGGACATGGAGGGTTTTTTTATTTATTTCACAAAACAGCATCAAAAGACAAAATACACAAATGGTAATTAAACATATGGTTACAAAGTAGTTATATTATATTGCTGACAATATAATATAAATGAGATTAATAAGATTACAGATAAATGAGATTACAGATAAAAGATTACAGAGAGATAAATAAGATTACATCACAGAACTGTTTTATACTAATCCCATTGCAAAATTATGCGCCCCTCCTTTCAGGTATTCCATTATTTCTCTATTGCAAATCTTCCAATATTACTTTAATTCTCATATCAGCTCGCAGATACCTATTCCGCTTGGGCTGCGGTTCATTTCCACGTACAAATTGTTCATAACTTTGATCAATTGATTTTTGAACACGCCTGAGACCATCTATGAATTCCCAAAATGTGGGGTGTGAAACACCAAATGATGATGACACCAATGAATGATGATGCAAACTTATTCTAAAAATAAATAAAATTACGAAAAGTATGGCGTCAAACAAAAGGAAAAATGTATGGCGTCGAACTGACCCCGCGTCGAGACTCTGGAGTCGAACCGTTGGCGTCGAACTGACCTGTACTGTCGGAAACAATATTCGGTGGAAACTTAATAGTTCTCAAAGCCGTAGTCTGATAACTGTTCGAGGCACTCACGGTTGGCTATTTCAATCGCTGTATAAAACCAAGTCTTAAGACTGCCTCCAGCGCATCTCCTCCTTCTCAAGAATCCCGCACCGCCAATTAGTAGAAAGCGATTATCAAGCAGTCAGCCTTGCCGACTCTATAAAAGGAAGTCCAGAGGTTTTGAAGGAAGTTTACTAGACCATTTCAACAGCTGGATATCACCATTGCGAAGAAATGAATAGAGTTCATCTTTTCCAATAGGGAAACACCGATTCTTTCCAACAGTTCCCATGAGAGCTTCCCATCTGATACTCTTGAATCAATCATAAGCTACGATTCATGCGTGTCCAGAACGGCTGGACAGGGAAAACGCGGGACTTAGCCCCAACTCCACTAACACAGATGCATATCTGGTTTGGCATACGTAATCTTAATTGTACTGATATATGCAAGTGACTCTGCTACAGCGGTAGGTGTAAAAAGAGGTCACTTAATTCTACTCTTAATTCGTTAGTAATGCGTTGTTAATAATCCTAGCGTTTTTCACGAAATTTTGACTTTCATAAGCTCTATGGTAGAATGAATAAGTTCCAAAATTTGTGTGACATGAGGCGGAAAAGCTTTGGTCCTTGGGTCTACTAGGGTCGGCTGTTTACGAAAACAGTTCCTGGAAACCATAACTGTTTATAAAATGCTTACAAGAGCCATGACGTCGAATGAAGTTCGGTATTTACGATTTTAGTCTAGATGTTATAAGACTGCTACAGCCACACAGCTCTTATGTGAGCTCTTTGCTGCTGCTGAAACCTTAGATTCAAAGGTTACTGTTTCCAAAAGATACAAGAAAGCGTGTTCGGAAAGGCATAGAGAACATCAGTATTAAATCGAATAATCAGGTGGTCCGAATTGTTTGCATTGATGAGACTAGAATCGGCCTAGACATCGGCGTATCCTTATCTGGATCAAGGTTTGAACCTAAAGTTTTTCTTACAACGTCAAGTAAGGGGACGATAAAACGACTGAAAGATATCATGGTGGTACACTAATCCGTGTCTTTGTCATAGTGTCTTCGGCTGCTTAGGTGTAAAAGAGGTCTTATTGTCCTGTGTACTATCTTTAGGAACTCAATTGACGAACAGCAGTTACCCACACAGGGCTCAAGTGGTGAACTAATATCAGAGTGAGGCTATCTGTCGGAGAGAACGGCTAATCATATCTCCAAATTTGAACTCTAATGAACATCTCTGGGATATACTTGAAAGAGCAACTGCCTTTCGCCGCCCGCCTCCGAAAAAAAAAATTGAATCGGAGCTAAGAAATGCTTTGATGAACGAGTTGGTAAGGATGCTACAGAAACTTACAGCTGTCTGGTTAACATACATACGACTAGCTCTGCAACCTGTGTCTGTAAGGTGACGGTATCCTCCACTAGCTTAATTTTAGGGGCCGTCTTTGTAGCAACGGTTTTCCCCAATCCTGCTTGTAAAAATTACCCAGTATCATGAAAGGATATTTTCATTGCTGTGTTGTGTGTAAATTGCTGTGTTGCATTCCTCTGCATCGAAACTAAATTCCAGTACCTTCTGTTTGGTATTTTTTGAGAAATTATATAAATATGCGTTCTTTTAATTGGAACACAAAGTGTAGTTTGAACGGTAAGCAGAAATCTAGTTTCTAATATGCATCTTTAAGACACTATTCACTACTGTATTTCGCATAAAACAATAAGAAAAAACCCACGATTAAGAAATAAGAAAAAAGCCACAAATAAAACGCAGGAAAACACACGAAACTTAACTTCCTAAAATACTTAAAAGCAAAGATGATACTAATTGTTGCATGTGACGAGATATCGAGGGAATTTGTTATTCGGTCCGGTACAAGTTTTATTCTCTGAATGCCTGTCGCACGAAGACTTTGCGAGATTGAACACACGGAACTACTACATAGTGTGTTCACCGATTGCTGGTATACAAAACCGCTTGAGAAAAGAAATCCAAGGCATAGAAGAATCCTTCACACGGTTTTTCAGACACTGAGCGATGCCGTACTTTTCGATATGTATGATGTATTTATTTTATGAAAACGAAAACCTGAATGAAATATTCCAGTTTAATTTTCTGTACAAGGCTTGCACTTGATCATACTGGATTTCTCTCCCAGAAGTCATGTGAAAACACTTTTATAGTAAGCATTTTAAGTACACTCGTGTGCCAAAATTAAGAGAATTTACATGTCAGATTTTAAGGAAATTCAATATGAATATACACATTCATAACAGAGAGAGAGAGAGATGTACCATTCAAAGACGTATCATTGTACGTATGATTATCGGCAAATTTCGTATATCAGGGATGTCCAAATCTACATTGTGAGATCGAACTGAAAATGAATCTAATATAGAGTATGGTCTCCTCTCACAACCAGACAGGTGGCGAGTAGGAGGGCTTACTGGATAGGAGGCAGATGAGGAGTCTCTGGTAGTCGATTTGCAGCAAGGCAGTTTTCAACTCCGGGATGGTTCTTGCAGGGGGATGACGAGATAGAATTGCCCTCCCAAGAGCGCTACGGACATACTGTATTGGTCAAGGGCAGGAAATCTGGCTGACCAATCCATGCGGTGAATACCTTCGCCTTCTAGGTAAACGTCGCCCAGCTGAGCCTTATGTAGTCGTGCATTAGCAAGAACCCAGGACAAACTGGCGTCCCTGGAAAGTCAAATTTTGGGTTCCAAGATCTTGCCTCATAGCAGTCAGGCAGCTTTTATCAAACCCATGCAGGGATGTACGCCCGTCCAACATAATGCCTGCCCGAACCATTACACCTCCATCAGGCATTATGTTGGACCGGCATCAGGCCCAATGATCATGTCCTCTGATGATGGGATGGTATACTCCAGGCTTCTCTCCGGGTACAGGTAAGTCGAGAATCGGGTTGAATCTCGACTCCTTTGTAAAATGCACTGTGCTTCACCGAAGTCTGGTCTGGTTAATCTGCACTATGCCAAATGCGCCCTCTTTTGAGTTGCACTGAGCGGTACACGCAAACAGTGCGTCTCTTCTGGCATACAGCCTTGTCTCATGAAGCCTTCTGCAACTGTAGACAGTGAAACTTTGGTTCCAGTGGCAGCATATAGCTCACGTGAAAGCTCTGAAGCTGTAGCAGTCATGTGTCGTCGCGCCTGAAGTGCCAAATAATGATCCTCATACTTCGTTGTGGATCATGGTTTGCCTTGTCCAGGTCTTATCAGTATAGATCCAGCTTCCTGAAACTCTTTCCTTAAACTGCAGATGATACTTGACGTTCCTGAGCTGTGTAGCCATGTGCGATTGTGATCGGCTTGCCTCTAGTCTACCGTCAGTTCTGCATCTCATCCCGTCATCCCGTCAACCGTGACGGTTCGTGACTGATTTTGCATGATACCTTATAAAATTCACCCAACTGTTGCGAGAAATGCTGCGAATGTCTGGAAGTAGTAACAGCATACAAATCGCCGAAAACCCCTTGTGCGCTTATATTCTCGCTACAATTACAGGTGTATGCTTATGAATTCGACTCTGAATATTTGCATAACTCTTTGGGAGCATAATTAGTACCTTTTTCCGTGAATACGTTTCATAAAAATAAACGCAACTTGCGAAATTTAATTTAGCACAGGACTGCAATTAGATAACTATATCTGAAGGCATAAATTACTATCATTTGCAAGTATTTACTCTAAGCGTTTTTCCTCGAGCACAGAATAAAGCTGAATTTTGTTTCGATGTCTACTGTGCTCTTATAGAAACTATACAGTGAATTTTATATGTTCCGAAAATGTTTCTACGCCTGCGCCGTAACTCTAGTTACGAATTACATGCAAGATTACTCTTGCAGTAAAAATCTTTCAGATCAATATTCCATAATGCTTGTTACCATATAAAACAGCAGGAAACTGTGCGCTTCTTTGGACACCCTGCGTTTTATATATTAAGTTTTGGATTTAATGGCTTGGCGTTTTGGAAATGGATCTCTTAATGAGATATTAAGCATGGGGGGGGAGGAATGCTTTCTCCTTAAATGGTCAAACGGAAAATAACTGTGTAAGCAGTAGGAACTCGGATATTTTCCTTCTACGTATAATCCTTTTGAGATTCTTAACATGTTTTCAATAACAGCGCTGTCAATTAGATTTGATGTTGAAACTTTCTGACATTTTTCAATAAGCCTGTTAAAATCATTCTTTTTGCATACTTCTAATGTAGATAATAAAGAAGTTTTAATATTTCAGTGATCCATAATAGTTTCCTTGACCTTTCGATAAAATCGATCTTTTCTATATGTGGACTTGAAACTATTGTAAGAAAATGCGTGGTTTGTAATTTGTCGGTATTTGTTGTTCGGATTTGTAATGTGGAGTATGTTCAGTTTCAGGTAGTGCTGTTCGGCTATAAATAATGGACATATTTCCAGGAATAACTTTTCTAAAAGAGATCTTTTTTTCCTAATGTTATTGCAGTAAATATTGCATATTTTATTATTTGTAAACCTTACGCTTGTCACTTTTTCAGAAAAATACCATTTTGGAAGGATGACTTCTGCAATATGATGAACGGGACAGGTAAGTTATGTTGCTGTTGAACTTATCGCTGCTTCTATAAATTACCCGGATACTTTGCCACTAAGAATTATTATAATAAATCTCATAGTACATATAGATTTGGTAAAAGTACAGTGAGACTCATTTAATCTTCGCTCAAACCGTCCCTTTGAAAATTATAATTTTCCTTCAGCCAACCTAAATATAGAAATTCGTCTTATATACGTAAGTATAACTTGGTTTTAGTTTGTTCGGATTAAAATAAAAGTCTATAAATTCAGTTTTAACCTAAGAAGCGATAGCATTACAAAATGTCGACCTAGCGATGTTTATGCAGCCACTGTTCGCTCCACACTACTAGAAAGTAATTCTAACATTTTGTGCAAAAGTCTAACTAGATACGGAGTTAAAATCAAAAAACATTTCTAACAGCACCCTGATCAGAGGTTTGGCAGACTTGGTCTGATTCGCAATACGAATTTTACGGAAATGCGTATAGTTCCGTGACGATTTAAAATTAATTTTAATTTAAAATTTAAATTAATGATTATCTTTTTAACTTTTGCGTAGACAAATTAACTTAATTACTTCATTTACTAGATTATGACTTATTTCTTTCAATATTTTGTTCTAAATACATAAGATTCTTTTACACTACCTCTGCTTTAACTGGCCATATTTTTATAAGAAATTCTTCCTGCGAATCAAAATTTATTTCTGGATAAAAAATACAATACTTTATACTCGGATAATCTATTGCCTCATTCGGAAAAGAAATCTGTATAAGGTCATTTGGAATAATAGTTTTAAATTCTCCAATTGCCTCTTCAGTTATTGGTAGTTTTCCCTGACTTTTAGCTTGTTATCGCAACATGCAGTTATGGCGTATGTGCTTTTTATTGCAATATTTATGTGCTTTTTATTACTTTGCAATTTTATTGTAATAACAATTTTGATTTTTCAAAATTTTGCCTGTGTTCATTACTTGGTGTGCAGATCAATGTGGAATTTTCCAGCTTTCTGGCGTATAAAAGCCGCTGGTGGGGGCGTTTACCATTTTTTTAAAAATGGTAAACGCCCCCACTAGGTAATGGTAAAAATGGTAAGCTAGAAAAATGAAGGTGCAAGAGGAGTATATCGAACAATTTTGTGTGAGCTTTGATGCTGATGCATCTCGAATTATACTGCTCAATCAGAATATTATTTATTTCATCTTAGCGATGATTGGAACTTTTCCACAATTGGCGGAAAAAATTCCAAAACACGGGAATGAAAATATTGCCCAATAAAATACCGCAGCTAATGATAGATTGTAGATTGAAAGGTCATAATGGAACTTCTTAATTTAAAAATTCTAGAACTCCTGATCACACTAAATGCTCTTAATTTAGTTCTTTCTATGAAAACATTAATCTGACGTGGACTCAAATTTTTAAACGTTGAATCATTTGAAAGCAGCTATCAATTCATTTTAAACTCCAACATAAAGACTTTATGGTACTGATTTTATCTTGAATTTCAGATGGTTCTCAGTTCCCTCCTCCAGTGACAAGACGAGACATCTTATATGTATATACTCCAGAATTATGCAGGTGAGTCATTATTTTAGTATCAGTGGGCTAAGGAACTGCTTACCAAATTTAAAAACTTTAAGAGAAATGGAAAAATTGTGTTCAGTGAGTCGAAGTTTGAAATAAATACTTTGATTATTTTTCCTTGCTGTCGTATATTTCAAAAAAGGTTTCGGTATTTATCCTATCTATAAATTTATCATTAAAGAAATCTCGTAACAAGAGTTAGTGCGGCTCATTGTTGTATGGATAATCAAATATATGTATAACGTCACATTATTACTCCTCACATGAAATGTTTAAGTACAATAATATTTACTGAGAATAATTTTCAGCTTACCTCTAAATAACTGTGACAGACTGGATAAGATCACCAGATGCTGATGATCTGAACCGGTTTCTGAAACTCGGGGCGAAACGGGATATCTGTATGGAGTTTCCGCGCGTAGGGAAAACTCTGTAACGTCAATTCGATCCAGGTTTTCTTTAGCCCTCTCCGTAGGCATCGCTCAGCTTTAGAAATTAGTTTTAATATCCATTGTCATAATCGACCAACATGCTTATTGTAATTTTCTATTTGAAAATTTTTCATTTGTTGTCCTATAATTTTATGTCAAATTTTTTGCAAAATTCGAGTAAATATTATGCTTCGAAGGTCTGAAATTACACATTCGCGAAACAGTTTGGAAAACGTTAAAAGGAAATTTAAAGGATGTTTATCTAAATCTCTGACTTCTTGAACTTAAAATGTTTTGACAGGTCAGTATTTCTGGAATACGAAAAAGATGTTCTGGTGCAAGGAATACCTTCCTTAAGGTTCGTGACGCCTGAACGATTATTTGCTAGTCCCAAACAAAATCCTGACAACATGTGTTATTGCACAGAACCTGAATACTGCGAACTAAGTGGTATACTGGATGTATCGCCCTGCAGAAAAGGTAAAATATCTTAGATTTTGTTAGAAAATTTTTCCGTATCTAAAATAGTTGTAATGGTCAGCCTAATAAAAATTTACAAAAATATGACAGTACTCGAACAACGTTTTAGAACTTATTCTGTGTTACTAAAACTCGAGTTTTATTTCTTTATCCCTGAAATCTAATGTTAAATTAAAAAAAAAAAAAAAACTAGCGCAACTAGAACGAAAAAGATGGGCCAAAACGCTCCTGACGGTCCCTGTTGACATTTGGGGATTTCTGACTTTTTGGAAGTTTCGGAATAGAGCATCTTCTATCTCTAAAATCAATTTTGTCCGAAGCTTCCAGAAGCTCCTGCTATATCATATGGATGTAGCTTTGAGAGCCAGATGAGTCATTTATGAATCGGTTCTGAGAAACACTGCTTTGGTTTTAAGTTTATTTTGAGTATTAATCGAGAACTTGCATAATTCACCGCCATTGTCGAGGATTTGACTACTATCTACTCTACTGTTGAGTTATATACACTTACTAATTTTTGTTGTGCTTTACATTTTTCCAATGTTTCTTCCCGTTAATCTGGAATGATTATTTAAAGACAGCCATGAATCCATAACTCTAGACAATATTTTAATGAAAGGGAATTGATGATACAGAACTGAAAACAAGAATGAATGTAAAAATTCTGAAGTAGATCAAGTTTTTTCCATAGGATTATTTACAATTTTTAATTCAAAATATTAAAAGGTGGAACCAATATTCTATGCAAATTACTTATTTTCTAGATCTCATTCCAGTCTCTATGGGAGAAATTTCAAATTTTTTTTCTGCGGAGACCACGCATAATCAGTAGTTTACGCTCCTATTTAGCTCTGAAGCTATCTAGATGTTTAAAAAAAGGGCTTAAAGCAGGTTCTGAAAGGAATGCCCTCATCAGACTGTCGATAGAATAAAGTATTGGTTATAACTCGAGTCAAGAAATGGTTTAAACGGGGCTGACGCAGTACTAAAATTTTATGTAAAAATGTTCATACGAATTTGACTGCGTATGAGTTTGACTAAACCGTATTAATGATGGCTAAAGATATGATATGATGTGATAGAGTTGCTAAAAATCTTGAAGCCGATTTTTAGTATTGCCATGTTATTTATCGAATCTGCATGTGCGTTACACTGAGGACTCATGCTTTCGCCTAGAATAACTGTTTAGTTTGATAGAGCTTTCTGAAATTAGCTGAATATTCATTTCCGATCATCCTGCATGGAATTCTTGGATTTCAAGGAGTGTATTTTATGAACCTATATTTATTGCAAAACTTTGTCCTCTGTTCATGATAACACTTCAATTCGAAACAAATGCCCTCAGTTTCATCTTATATTCTTAAAACACTGATTGTTAACAACTTACATCACATCTTTAAAATTTCTGAATGGGGATGGCTAGGCATTTTATGAAATTTTATTTAGCTCTTTAGAACTATAGTTCTGAGACAGACAAATCTTGCGTTTACTTTGTAATGTTTTTACTTGAAACTTTAGTCTTAAAAATACCTTTACTGGCTGTGTGTAGCATAGATACATAGGTGTTGATTACAGCAAAGTAAATATTTTAAAAAGTTTGGGGTTTCAAAACCTTGATGTTACTTTTTATATTACAGAACTTCTGTTCGTTAGATAAATGGGGAAGATCCATATTTCAAGCTGCTCGCTTTATTGGTTTCTAAATTGTAAGACTAAAACAGTGGTCGTCAACATTTTTTGCTCCATGTTTATCCCTTTCGGCATCGCCAGATCATCCCCCTACCTTTACCTTAAGCTTGAAAAATGCATATATACATTTATTTAGATTATTTTCTAGCATGTTTTATAAATTAAACAGTAAAGTATACAAAATGTTGATAAATAACAAAACTTGAAATAGTTTTTTTATAATCATAAACTAAAACTAAATTAACAGCTAAATAAAAAGCTGACCACATCCCCAATGAAACTATGAAATTCCCCATTGGTTGAGAAGCACTGGACTAGGATTTCTCTTTTAAGCTGATAGACTAACTTCTGTTTAATGAAAAAGATTAACAAACTTTTGGGTTAATGCTTGCAGTTTTTTTGACTGTCACCAGACCAATAGAATCCCATGAGCGGTAGCATTTCTTTAATGCCATTTGGAAATTAGCTTCAGAAAGCGACTAACAATCGACCTTATAAAAAAACCTTTTATTATAATCCACGTATTTTAGTTCAACTTGAGTGATAGAAAGGCACTTTGGGGTTTTTTTTCCTAGTAAGTGAAAGCTTATTTCAAAACAATATAATAGTTTCGTATATCCTAGTAAATTTTAAGTCTCAACTCTCTTGACATTTAAATCTTCGAATAAAAAATTGAAACATGAACTTGTATTGCAGAATTTGTATTTAAAATCTTACGAGCCCTGTATTAAATTAATTGCTTTAAAGTGTAATATGTGATTGTATTGATATTGATGCTTTTGGCATTAAAAAGCATCCCACATTTTATGCTTATGCAGAATCAAATTTTAAAGGGAACCCTACGCAGAATAAATTTTAAATGGAATGAATGCATGATGAAATTAAATTTTAACCTTAGTTTCCTCTTAGTTCAAAATGGAGTTCTTTTGTATGGTGATTTTGAGTATTTCGAAACAGTGGGGTTGTAAAATAACGAAATTATTCTATTCTGCTTAAACTGTGTCTCTTATAGCAGATTTTGCAACGACCTTATTCTTGCCTCCCTTAAATTAAAATGCATATAATTTTTTTGTGTTCAACATGAAACAGAGTTTGAAACCTTTTTAAACTTTCTCAGTTTTTGTAATACATTTGTTTCAGGTATGAAGCTTGCTGTAACAGGACCTCACTTTTACCAAGGTCACAAAGCTTTCGCTGAGCGAGTAGACGGGCTTACACCTTCAAGAGAAGAGCACGAGACTTACGTTGACATAGAACCAGTAAGAACATTTATTATCAGTTCTCCCGCTTTGCAGTACCTTAAACGTATTTGTACCTGAATTCAATAAATATTCAAGTGTTGTAAAGATCTAAAGGATAATCCTAAGGCTTATTTGAACTAATTTAAACTAAATTCGGTTGGTGTAATGTACTAAAATTTCTGAATGTGAAGTACTTAAAATATGAATCTCCCCTTTTTAGGTTTAAACGTATTCTTACTAGTCAACATACCTATAATTTGCATCGCAGATTTAACTTAATATACACTAACATTTTATAATTGTTAGAGATGTGCAAAGAATGTTGTAAATTGTAGAATTCATCGTATTACTTTTACATACGTATAATAGTTATCTGAATTTAATTGTCAATTATGTAAATTTCAGAAAAAGTATATGGGTTTATTCATAGCTTTATGTATAGTTTATCTTATTTCATTTAATTTCAGAATACAGGCCTTGTTTTAAGAGCATCGAGGAAACTGCAGATGAACTTCATACTAGACAAGTTTGAGGAATTAGAGTAAGCTCCTATCATTCTTCTATACTAAAGCTGACAAAACAGAGAAACTCTTCTTTGAGATTTAATTCCGGTTGAATAATTATGAATAAGATGTTGATACGAACTACGAATATAACTTTTCATTGAATATTTTAAAATATGATCTTAAAAGCTAATGAAGTTTTTGATAATGAAATTTCTACCGTTTCAAATCGTGAAAATGAGGCTTTAAAATTTTTGAATGTTTTAAGTTATTCTTTAAGCTTCTAGACAATAAATTTACTCTATGACAACTCATAGCTTTCATATGCTTTGTTATTTTTAAGGAAAACATTTCTGAAATCATGCAAGGCTAAATATTACATGAATTACGCGAAACTGATAAAAGATTTAAAATTTATTATTCGGGTGTTTCACCCATTTCTGCACGTTTACAGAAACTAATTTGTATTTGAAATTGCCATTTCTTCTGTCACTGAAACTGAACATTTTCATATGTAGGCTTTATTTTGAAATCTTACACAAACTGTTATGCAGTTTATGAAGTCTATATTATGTGCAAAACTAAAATAAAGAATACACACATATAAAGCTTAGAATAATTTTATTTCATCTAATATACTTATTGGCCAATAAATATCCTATTCTAGGGAAATCTTATTATTAACTTGCATTTTTTAAGGGCTCGAAGATTAAAAACTAACTAAAAAGGAAACTAAAAAACTCTAAGTAATGAAGCTAACGTGAGGTGATTAGTTGCTTGAAGATTATCTTCAAAACATCAGATCAAATATTTGTTTTGGTGAAATCACGACAGCAGTTTAAATTTTACTGCTAGGATGTATCCAATTTAAATGAGATTTTGTTCTTGGTAGTTGTTACGGAAAAGAAAAATGTTCATGCCCTCACTCGGAGAATTATTACCCTACGCAGTAGCGCATTATATAACGCTAACAGTTCTTCAGTCGAAAGATTGTGTTTAATTGCGTTATCTAAAAAGAGAATCTAAAGCCTTCTTCAGTAAGCAAAGCCGAGATGGCATGATTTTTATCGTGTTCACCAGCGACCGAGCGGTACAGTCGCTGAACACTGGTAGTTCGGACCGGGAATAGAATCCCGGAGAACGGGTTGAGTGCATGGGCATTTCGTCGTTTTTCCCATCTGTAACATGTATATGAGCCAGTTTTTCTTATAAAATACTCCACGAAGGCATCCCTTCTCAGTGTCAGATAGCCCTCGAGTGTTTTGTCATAATCAATTAAACCAAACCGTAACTTTTATCTTAAGATGGAAAGGTCAGTCTGATATCACAGCAAATTTTTTGTTGACTTCGTTCAAATGCTTTTCTACGCGTTCAGCTTCGGCTTAATATACACATTTACTTTGCATTCCAGCTTGTCACGCATAACGCTTAACTCTGACTTTCAATGACTTTTTAGGAAACTTTGGGTCACCCTGCGATCAGCTTTCGCACATTCATCTTTTTCCTTCTAGCAGTTCACTTGTACCCAGTGAAATTTAATTAATACGTCTTGCTTTGTCGAGCAGGCTTTCACAACTCTGGAGAAAACAAAATTGTAGATTTAGAGCCGATGGGCATTTACAGCCCTAAATTATATACATGTTAGACATGTATATGACCATTTTCACTTATCGAAGATTTATGGTATTGAATCGACCCTTTCTGATAGCGCATTCATCAAAAGAAATTGTTATTCGACTGGACACAATTCAGTGCTAGACATGGTACTGCTGCGTATAGTCCTTCCACACTGTTAGTCATCGCGGACATGTTTCTCACAATATTCTCTTAAGGCTGGACTGAAAACCAACTATTGTGTATCTTATCGGATGAAGTTTTTAGGTCGTCGTCTCCTTTTCATTTGACAAACCACACGTTATGTTATCAGTAATATCGGGATGTTCTTATTCTGTTAAACTGACATCAGATGAACGTCAGCTGTTAAACCTCTTTAAATATTATATATTTTTAGTTCTAGTTCTAAAGAGTTTTTGTTTAATTGGCAATCGAATTTTTAAGTGAATTTTTCTCAAAACCACTTTTTTTTTTTAATTTTCAGGGAGACTAACTCCGTCCAAATGAATGTTATTCCTCTCATCTGGGTTACAGAAGTAAGTAAAGCTCAATTTCGAAAGCATTAAATGTTTAATATATATAAGTATAGTGTAATTAAGTGTAAATTAATATATATAAGTAAGCTTTATTCAAAACTTTTCAGGTTATTTAAATTATGCTTTCAAAATCAGTCAATGGGAAATTATATCTACATTCATACTGATTATTCTTTTTTTTTAACAAACTGCTTACACATGAAAATCTTCAGTATTATTTCTGCGTAATCGTTCTTAATAGGTATTTAAATTCTTTCTGTATGATAATGGTAGTTAGCGAAAATATAGGAAATGATTGTCGAATATAATTTCATTACTCCATTATACCAATATTTCACGATGTTATTTAATAAATTTCCCATTCGTTTATATGATAAAAGAATTTTAAAAATCGATGAAAAGTGATTGACTCCTATACCAGATGAACTATAACTTCAGAATTTTACTAACGAAATTATATAAAATATTTTTAGACATTAGTCAGAATGTAATACGCAAACTTGGTATTGTCTTTAAAGCTTTCATTTGAATAAGATAATCTATATCTTGCTGCAGAATGGTTTTGCAATAGCGATCTTCATATTTCTATAAATGGTGATGTTTATCCCACATAATTCTCAAATAACATTTGAACCGAAATGTGTTAATATAGTGAAGAAATTGAATTTGAGAAAGTTGCAGTTTTAAGAGGAAATATTTAAAATACTCTACCTGATAAATAAAACGTATAACTTGGTGAATCTTTTGCTGCTGTAATGTGCAAATTTCAAGGAATGTAGCTCCAAGCAAACGATCTGAAATCGAGTCTTCCTGTATCTATTCAAATAATCTAAAATCGAATCTTACTTGCACTACTGCATCAGTAGCTTATCACCTAGTCTGCATAGAGATAAATTACCGGTACACCAACGCGAAGATTTGGTGATACAGCTGATCGCACTTCCGTGCATTCAGAGACTTCAAAATGCTATTTTTCAGCAAGACGACGTGTCGCAAAATAAGGCAAACATAATTTTTCAAGCTTTGCAAGTTATCCATATGCTTCGACCAACGCGGTCCTCCAGAATTTTCTCCAATCGAGCATCTGTGGGCCGTCATTTTGTGTTCTGTATCTGATGAAAGTAAACTGCCGAAAGTAATGGAAACAAATAGTAATCCTCCTTTAACTTATCGGAATGCTTGACTGAATGCGCATCCCGAAATATTGCTTGAATTTTTCAAACAGGTGATTCTTCTTCCAGTTAATCCACACTGCATATTGGATTACTGTAGTGCACTCGTGGAATTAAAATTTCTTTAGAGAGATTCTTTTTGTCACATTCGACCCGGTCCTTCAAGGTGTTGCATTTTCCATGTCAGGCAGCATATTTCCAATATTCACACTTCTTTCGATATTTAATTACCTGTTTATACTAACTTTAAGTCTGATATGAATTCACAAGTTTTTGGAAGAAAGTAAGTAATGGTACAGTATAATTAAATGTTAATTTCCGTATTAGAGTAATCTATAATTTGGCTTTTACTTCAGCACTTCAATTTTTAATCGGAAATTCATGCTTTTCATATTATTTTATAGGAAGCAGAGATTGACAGTGAAGTAGCTGCCTTATTCACAGCTAAAGTCCGAACCCCTATAACAGTAGCTAAGTCAGTTCTAACAGCTTGCATAGTATTGGGAATTCTTTGGATCGTTACAGCTGGATTTGTCACAGTATATATTCTCATGAAGGTAAGAAAACTTTAAAATTGCGATTTTATATTTGATAAGCAAATGATAATTTTTAAATTAATACAGTGTTTCCAAGTTCTGTAATTCCCAAAACAAGATTTTGAAAGAATTCTAGGTACAGTTTTCCTATGGAATAATACTTAAAAGTGCTACAGTTCATTTTCACAGTACTTTAAACAAAGTTCCCAGGTAATGCTTTATGCGTCGTTTTAAGTTTCAACTAAATTGTCATGGTGCTACAAAAGCAAGGTTTAGCACCAGAAACTAGATTATAAAATTTCGATTCAGAAACTTGAAAGCTCCATTCCTTAGCTCAAACACAATGCAGACTGGTAAAATTTCCAACTATGAAGTTTCAATAAACTTTTAGTGATTTCTGTTTAATAAAGGTACGAAGAAAATAACTTCCAGCTTGATAAGTTAAGCTTGATATATTTAGAATATACTATTTGTAGTTAAGAAACGAATGCTGTATAAAATTGCTCAACAAATGGAAATTATGGTACTCTCACAGTATTTGGAAGAGATACAAAATGGGTATCTAAAAGTTTCACTTTTATAGTTATAGAAAATAAGATGGAAAAATACACCCAGTATGAATATTGTTTGAGGGTTTTCTGTACAGTGAATATAATCGTAGACTATACGCTGAAATTTCTGTCTCCAAAGTACCCGTGATTGTGTAATTTCTCCTGTAGAAAACTGGGAGGGAAATAAAGCCAGCAAGGGCAAAATAAGAGCATTATATAGAAAAAGTTAGATATCCTGTTACTTACGCACAATATAGCATTAAGGAAATGCGATTATCAAGGAAATGCGCACGATATAAGTCACGTGTGCCGTAAATATTAATATGGTCTGTATTATCATAAACGTATGTAAGATTTTATTGTCTTTAATATAAATTGCGCTCTTGCTTAATATATATAAATTACGTACATAAATTACTTGTATAAAATTCTATCTCTTCGGATGCTATTTTTTGACAAAGTGAAACCATATTTTTTCGACATAGTGTCTTCAACATGCAAGACATTAATTACTGGTCTTCTCAGAATCCTCACTAAAGATTGAAAAACAAGTTCCTTTGGCAGTAAATACGTACGAGGTTTTGAGCAAATCTGTAGCTGAATCCAATTTTTGATGGTATGGCTACTGAATATTTCTTTACTTTCTTCATGTTCTAGTATCTTGTTCTCTCAGATGTTCCTCTGAAGATAGTTGCCTCCATATAATATCAATATAATGCTCTCCTTGCAACGAAAAAAACTTATGTTCACGATTTCCTTAAATTCCTTCCGGAATTTCTAAAGATGTATCTAGCTTATCTTTTATGTGCCTCAATTAAAAAGAAGGAAGGCATTGAAAATTTAGAGTTCAATTGGTACTGCAATTGATGAACAAGATTTGAACTGCATGGTGCTGAAAATTCGAGAAGACTTCAAAGATCCTTTCGATCTTTCCTCTTAGTTTTATTTTTTATCCTAAATTTATAATGTGCAAGCATTTCAACCACTAAGTAGAGAATATTCTAAACTTTTACGTAAATTAAAGTTTTTGGTTTCAGTTGCATCGCTTTCATGGTAGGAAACCAGCCTTTAAATCGCTACTAAAAATTGCAAATTTATAGAATCGGAAGCTCTTGGTCGCTTTCCTGTTATAACGTACTCATGGTCGTCATTCAAAATAATTTAAATACAGTTATTTGCTCACATACTTTTCTAATTTTTAATGTTGTTATTCAAGTTACAGCCGGAAAAAAAAACGTGGAGTAATCTCTTCCCTCTGGCATAAAATAATCAAGCAGGGCTGTTCTAGCTATCAAACGTAATTTAAGTGATAATTGTTTTTCGGGGATGAGAAATTTTGATTTATTGTTTGAAAAAAGCTGTATAGCTCATAAAAAAGGAGAAAAACTAATTTACCAATAAGGTGCCTGAAACATTTTTCTCTATTAAAATTTCATTTTAACTGCGTTATTAGGGATAATACTTTTTTTATATAAATTGTTGCAGTATTTGTTTTCTTGTCCGTGAAGTACTGCTACTAGTATAATAACTATAAAAAGTATAAAAAAATTATTAAACAAAAAGTAAATGATACATATTTAACTATTTCATAAGAGTTCTTTTTTACTCAGGTGAGAATGTCTAGGCACGGTTCTACTAGAACTTCGTTGCATTTTGCTGATAATCTATTACAGTTTCAAGTTCGTTTCAAGTTCTTTACTGGTCATACTTATGCTGCGCCTTTGAACGCAGATTAAACGATGACTGCACATAATTTAGCAACATTTCCGCTCCAACTCAAGAAACGTAAATTGAAACATGAGTATTGTGCCATATAACGCTTTCGCTTTTACATTTATTAAGTAAATCAATAATTGCTGCTTATTTAGACAGTTTTATTTTCACTGCTAAAGTGCTAAAGTATGAATGAGTATGACTCGTATTTTTGATAAGACATTTGTTCCGCCTCGATATCTCTTTAAGTAAAATTTTCTTGTATTTACAGCAACAGAAAACTGCTCAGGCTGTTATACGAAGTAAATATGCCCGTGTATCACAGAAAGCGGATGAAGTGAAAAAGAATCCTAATGTGTAAGTTAGTTAACCACAGTTTTTGCATTTCCAAAGTTATGAACCGTGAATATTCTTTCTGCGGCTATATTAACCGGCTCATATTAACTTTACGAAAGGGAAAGGTTTCGCATTCATGTCATAAGTGTTCATGAATTAGCATAACGTTACTTACTTTACACATAACGTAAATCACGAAAGCGCCCATGCAGCCATTTGATCCCTGATGAGGTGAAAGATCAAGACATGCTGAATCATCATACGAAATTAAAAAGAGAATTGTTTTTACACTGAACAGAGTATTCAAAAAATTAAATGGGATTTCAACAGCTTCTCGTTCGTGCCATGCCTTTCTTACTCCATTGAAACTCTCAATAAAAAGTACGAGTGTTAATTAAATTATGATCACGATAATTAGGATCATGATTACGTAATAATTGGGAAGATGAAAGAGTAAAAAGACAATGGCTATGAATCTTTCCAGTTTTTCTTCAATCGTCTATAAAACTCAGTTCTAATTATTGTAAACTTGTGAATTTTCCTCACAAATTGTTATTGGCATTCCTTGAGGAAAATTTTTATAAATTCAAATCAGTAATACAAATTACGAAAAATCTTGCATTAAGTACAATTATCATACTATAAATATAAATTAAGAAACGCTCAGTCCTAAAAACTGCGTTTAAATCCCACGGTGTTGTTAATCCTGTGAATGGGCTGGCTGCATGGCCGTTTTCGTGGTTTTCCCCTTGTGTAACGTGTATATGAGCCTGTTAGCCTTAGAAAGTTACTCCATGAAGGCATTCCTTCCCTTGGGCAGATAGCTTTCGCCATAACCGCATAAATCAATCAAACTCACAGTGCTGTCTATAGAAGAAATAGATTACAGATGAAATGGAGTATTTGGAATCTCATCGACAATTTTACTAACAACAATAACGGGCAAAATAGCGCCTTAAAATATTGGAAGTTTTGTTAAAAAATAAACACCTTTTTTTTTTTTTCCTTATATCCTGTTTTGGCATATACGCAATTTTCGGTGTGCATTGAAAATGGCGGCACAAGCTCTAACTACGTCATTACCAGGTACCATTTATAGTTTTGTTATGGAAATTACCTAGTGGTTTCTACAAGGTGATCAGCATATAAGTCAAGAGCTTGGATCATAGGCCGGTTCTGGAGCCTTGTGTTTTGAATGCTTTATAATTAGTGCTGGAACATTATTCTTGGGAAGAAAGTATACATTAGCTTTTGCATTTGTTGACTGCACCATTTTCTTTTTCAATAAACTTTGTCCTTGAAATCATAATTGGCCACTTTTATTTACCCTCTCATTATGCTAATTCTGATAACCTTTCTAAATGATATATAAATACTTAGAATAGCTGTAATTTTCTGAAAATATTTTTATCGATATTTTAAATACTCTATATTCCAAACTTTACTTTGTAGACAAAATTCTGATACTTTTTCCCTTAAGTGGATATGTTTATTTATTTACTTTCTTTCAGGCATGCCTAGTCAAAGTGAAATCACCTCTGCAATAAAATACCAAATTATCATTTGCTCATGAAGCAATACCATTAGCCATCATATAAGTGATATCAAGTGCCCTTAGTCATCTTTGTTTCTTTCATCAACCTAACAAAAATTTGTGTTTTCCTGTGCATTTTGACTGGTTTTCAGGGCACGAACTTTACTATTGAGGAACTGTTTATTTGAAATAAACGAACCCTGAAAATGTTCATATTTGCATGCATGTATAAAAAAAATGCAAAGATTATTATGAATTGATAAGTGTAATGCAACTTGTTTCCTTGATTCTATACTAGTAATTTTTACCTATTTGTAAATAGCTTCTTGTAAATCTTCTCAATTTTTGATAATTTTTCTAGCATGAAAGGTTCTCTTAACTGCTTTTATCATGTTAAAATCAGTGCATTTTATTTAGTGTAATTCTCAGGTTCTTGTAAAATTATTTGCACTTCTGCATAAAATATACATTGTATCATTTTTCATTCATGACTGTTAGTACATATTCAGTGATCTGATGCAGTGAAGTCTGCATAATTATTCTATTGTAACCTTTAAAGTATTATAACCAAATTTTTAAAACCCTGAAAGTCCTAATACTTAATGCTGATATTTGGTGAGCATAAGTTCCTCTAACGATAGCATTCGTTCTAAGACTTGGTTTCCAAAACTTGAGAATCAGCTTTTATGCTTATAGGATTGTAACGTTGTTTTAGACGTTCAAAAAAGACAAAGCAAGCTATGTGGCGCTGTGAGACTGATTTCAGGTTTTAATACATTAAAGGAACTTGTATACTGACTAAGCATTTTTCAGGTATCCATTAAATTTTAAGAACCTTCATTCGCAAATTATTTTGTTTCCTATAAATGCTCACTATTTTATTTTTTGTGCAGATTTTTGTGTATTTCCCTAATAAAATTGTTTTTGAGAAATGTCTTTTGCATTCATTTTTCATAAATTCACCTTCAAATAGCTGTCGTTTAATAATATTATTGTAATTTTGTATGTATTTCTCAAGCACGCTGTTCAGCGTTTGGGAAAAATTCTCAAGCCTGATTTTTTTTTTAGACATCTAGAAATAAGACTTGACTAAATGGAAAAAAATCATCCCTAGAAATCCGCATACATTTATCTGAATTAGTTATTTCAGCTGCTCTATATCCATCTTCACACTTAATCTCCGAAGAAATTGGGAACTTGAAATTTTCTCAGCTATATCGTTTGTCCGGATGGAAGCTAGCGATTGATTTGCATCACTCACCCATTTTCATCTTAATCTCTTGTCAGATCAAACGACGCGCAGCTCAATAAACTTTTCCTAGAAACAAAATCTTCCCAAAAGTGCAAAGGAAGATCTTTTACTGATTGGTTCCTGTTTCTTTCGCACTTGAAAGAGAGCTATCAGCGCAATTTTTGACCCCAGTATTGTAAAATATTGCGTCAACATACTCGCAGTACATCGCTAAACGGAAATTATAAGACTAGAAACCTCCCATTTAAACTGGTGATGGGAGAAACAAGTTTTCTGAAAAAGATTCTTATTTCGTCGCGCTGCGCTTGATGTGATAACTATTATCTTTTAGTTTTGGAAAACTTGTTAGGAGCAAGAATTTTGGCACGTAATTTTTCATGGCAACAAAAAGTTTCTCATCTGAATTTCTTTTGCTATGCAGAATTCTTCTCTGGTAGCTCTGTTAAATTACTATTTATTTTGTATGAAATTCCAAACATCCAAAAATTTTTGAATCGCTAATAATAAAAAAGTAACTATTAAATTAAGAAGGACATTACTTTAAAATGTATTTAAAGCATAATTTCATTTTTAAGCATAACGAATTTACGATACTGCATTAGTTGAAATGTGTAACATTATTTTGAGTTTTCAAATATCAATTCTTTGCGAAATATTTCACGAATTAGTTTTTGCAACATTTATCTTTTCCTAAAATTAAGATTTAATTTGCTCAGAACTGATTTCCTTTGTTATAATGGGACAATAACGTAACTGTGTCTGGTAGTTCATCTAATTTTATTTCTTTCGTAGAATAATGACTCAGGATTCAACTTATGGATTTTGAGTCTTCTAATTCATATTCAAATGAAATATACTGCATGTACATTGTAGATCAGTTTCGAAGGTTGAAGCAACAAAAGTTCTACTAGTGATAGTGATAATGTGTCAGAAGTTACCAACGTAATTAGATGACTTTTGATAGGATAGATATAAAGTGGCTTCTCGTACTTTTTCTTCCTCTGGATACTGGGATTATTGCGAAGATTTCTAAAAATTTATGCATGTCGGGAATACGTAAATCATGGTATTTCTAGTCATATTTCCTTCGTTACTACCATAAAACATTTACAAACCTATCACAAAAACTTTTCATTTTGATATCGAGAAAAATTAACATCTGACGTTCTGTTTTATTCAAGACAGCAATGAATTAAGTTGACAAGATTTTATTTTGAAATGTTACAAAGACCTTTCCTTCCTTTACTTTCCTCCTTACTGATATCAGAACGAAGCAGCCAAATTTTGAAAAATAAGTTGACATCTGGATAACGCCAAGTGCAAGAACTCGTCAAGTATTCTGTCTTTTCGGAATCAAAATGAGTCTGCTGTTAAGTTATGAGGGTGTCTAAGGTCAACTTCTGAGGATGAAGCACGAACCAACACTGCCCGTAAATTTGTTTCATGCTTTGTAGCATCGATAAGAAGAGCGGTATCTCTGCAAACTGTTGACAGACGGCTCCTTAACAGGTCAGCTGTAATGACAAGTGCTTAACATCTTGTTAACGTTCACGTCTACAGTGGTCTGTTGTCTCAATCACCTTAACTATAGTCCACAATAGTTAAAAACTATGTTTGTGGACTAATCATGATTTGTCCTCAGACCGATTCCAGATTTTTACTGTTCTGAAAAGAATGCTTGGATCTCTCCTTCGCGCAATAAGATTAGAGAAATACATGCATATAAAAAGGCTATGTTTTGTCAAGGACCACTATTACTTGCTGCACTAATCTTCATATTTTCTCTTAAGGTACTGTGGCTGCAATGCTACAGAGATCACATCCTCGCTCAGTATGTTCACCCGTTTATTGCGATCATATGTCTCGGATGATTTTGGACGGCAAAATGCAAACTCTCTCGGAGTGCATTGTCTGCTTGTATAAGGAATCTGAAACATTGTTCGTTGGAAAAGGTTTTGAAATCACTCGACTTAAATCTCATTCATTATGTATGGAAAGTGTTTAATATCAGTCCATAACACGCTGCGAACGTTGATGAGCGAAGATATGTTCAGCAAATTAGGATCCAGATGCCCTAAAATCGCAGATCTTATTCTTGTCATGAAACTGCGTTGCCGGGCGTGTATTTCCAACGAAAGATTCATTTCGTATTAAAAAACCCCCAACAAAGAGTTTCTGTCGCCAAAAATTATATATTTTTTATTTTGTTTCGGACTGTTATTTGTTGATCATTTTCCACAGAATCTTGGTCTTAGTAATATCCTGCAAAAGTTCAGTGAAGCTCAGGAAAACAAAAGCATGCAGACTATTTCACAAGAGGATACGACAGGAATCTTTCTTTTAAGTCGCGAATGAAAATTTCTACAGGGCAGTGTAAGAAATTTGTGCACGGTCTTCGTGCAGCAAATGCATAATTGACAAGCTATTAATTACCTTGCACTCATAATTAACTGTTGCACTGCATAGATACTTAATAAAAAATTAAGTACCTATGCAGTGTAAGAATCTTTAATAGGTAAGAGTGACCGCAGGCCAACCAAAAAATAATGAATCCGCAAAGATAGAGTGGGAGAAGATACCTCAACACTAGTAGCTTAAGTCGGTTTCTAGTCTTAATGAACAGGCTGTTTGTATTGGCGTTTTCACCTCCTCTTAATGTGAGAAGCAGGATCTTTAGAGAAAGGCATCATTCCTAAGACAAATAATAATGCTGCTGTGCCTTTGCCATATACAGTAAGTCTAAGATCTAAAATACTTATTATTCCATGAATGTTAGGAAACAAAGACAGTTTCTGAAACGTTTACCTTTAATGTATTCTAAGTATGGTATAACATTAATTTTTCTATTGGTTCAGTGTATTTCTATTTTTCTATTCTATTTCTATTTCTACTATCTCATTCGAAAATATTGAGCTATTGTGCCCTTTCGGACAAGTGTAATTTTTGGTAGTGTGATTCAAGTGTAATTCAAGTCTGCATCCGAGAAGAGTAAGACTAGAACAAGATGTGAATCCGTACCTCAGATACGCAATCAATAATAGCCACATGAGGACCCAAATAACGGATATTTGGGAATCAAGGGGGTTTAGAACTGTGCAACAGAGAGTGATTCCATCCAAATCAATATGCAAAGAAAAGACCCAAATGATTGTTCGAATTTCTAGCTGAAAGAGATCACAGCAAATAACGAAAAGATTTCAAATTACGCCCAGTCTCCATATAAATGGTATGAAGCACTAAGCACACGAGAAAGTCAACGAATCAATACGAGTAGATCACAATTGCTCTAAAAAATATCAAAGTGCTCAGCAATAACAAAAGTGTGTAAAGAAACTAAATACATGGATTGTATCTATAAGCAATAAATATGATGAACATGCAATCATATACGCAATTAAAGACTCCACCAGCCCAAGTAGTCCCGGACATAAGATTGGACAGTCGGTGGCAGTGCTTGCGATGTCGGTTGCATCAGACGAGAGTAGCATCTCTGCACCAAAACGTTACCGTGGGCCCCTGTAAGCATTGCTAATCTGGATAGCTAATGTAAGGGGCCTATACCTACTTATTTTTGGGTAAATAATACGTGGCCCCTGCACTTATACTTATCCTAACCTAATATTCATTCCAGAAACATTCACATTCTCTCTTGCTTTGATAACTTAACAATCGTGTATTAACATAGAACACTCATTAAATCAGGCATGCAATAATTAGAGTAACATTACATGTGCTTTTCATTTTTAACCATAACGCGAGTAATCAAATTCTTTTTCTGCGTTTTTGTGTATTTACGCGTTTAGCTCACTTTTTTTAACAAACGACAGTTTTTCTATAAACGAAACCGAGTTAAAAAGATTCTTGGGAGTTACCAAATTTGCCATACCAAATGGAACAAGCTACAAAATCCTTCACAATTTTCGAAGTTTTGTGTGCGAAGTTGAAATTTTGATTTTCAACCCCTTTTTTGTTCTGTTGTATAATGTGTAAATCGTTATCGCATATAACCTGTTTAGGACAACTGTTTAAAACAGTTTTCTATGAGAGTCGTCCTTTTTTCCCGCATGCTAAAAGCTGCAAATAACGAATTTTCTGTAAATTAACTATCAGTACCCAAATAATCTAGAACAGTCGAAACAAGTTTTCTGTTCATGGCATTCTTTGCATGAAATAATACTACATTTATTAGCAATTCTGTTCTGCCTCTTATTAAAAAGATCGATCTGATATTTTCACAGGTAATTCTTTCTTTTGCGAAATAGTATAGCATTTGCATAGACATAACAAATACCGCAAGACATGAAATCCATCAACTGCATAATGATTCTAGAAGAACTGAACGCTTTTGAAATTTTTATACAGCGTGAAAGGGTGTTATATATCGTGTTGACCTACAGGGATCTTAATTCACTGCGTACTCTCTTTCCAACATATACAGTTGCAGATACAAGAAAGTATGAATGAGAAAGTTTCCGTACTTAAGTTTCCTGTACTTATACTATGCGCACTTCGATGCCGTGGAGTTCTCAGCGGGAAGCTTTTAAGTGCATTCCTCACTTGTGGAACAAGGTTTAAGTCATATCCAGTTTGAGAATCGAGCATGCGTAGTTGTTTTGCCTAGCTCATCGAAATCGTCGATCGGCCTTTGTTACACTGAGATTTGTCGGTTCTTATACCAGG